GGTTAATTAATCTGTCCAAGGTCACAAAACTAGTTAGTGGCATATTCAGTATACATACCCAGCAGTCTGACACTTAAAGCCTGCATTTGTAATCCTCAAATCCAAATTATATGGAATCTATTTATAAGCCTTTTTCTCTCAAATCTTTGATGACATTAATTGTAATTACTCAGGTGTTTCTTTAATACAGACATCGGTTAGACCTCTAACTGATATTTCTGTTAGGAAGGCAAATGTTCTTTTTTTATGAATGCCTGAGAGATAAGAAGGATATGTCATCATATTCACCCTTCCCAGCCCCCCTCAAAGGCTATTTGCTCTACATTGTATTTCTATACCTCGTGATAGGATTCCATTTCTTCCTTTCTTCAAAAGGACTTTGTTACTTTTCTTATTTCTTGTACTATATTACTATATTCTGCTTAGTATAAATATTCATGTATACATTCATTATGCTTTATTTCTACTCCTAGATTATGAAGCTTGTTGAGGATAGGCATTTGGTTTTACTTACATTTAATTCAGTGTTCATTAGTCCTGTGTTCATAAACAGGTATTTCTTTATTATCTGTGCAACAAATTAAACACAATTATACTTTTTAGCTGAGGTAAATATCATGGAAATCAATTATGCCTTTCTGATACAGATCTCTTTTCTCTGGCAACAAATAAAGTCTAACAAATATTAGCTTTGCTAGAGAAGTTGCGCATTTCCTCTGTTTGACTTAATTTTTTAAATATTTTTTTTTCAATTTCCATTCTTGATATTTTTTAGTCTAGATTTTTCTCACCAGTGGACTCAGATTTGAGAATGAAAAGGAAAACATCAGCATAATTTTAATGTATGGTAATTCAACGTATCTCATAGTAGGCTTGATTTATTTCAGACAAACATTTTCTTTAAACAATGTTTTTTGCTTAAAATTAGTGCTGCAATTTGGTGACTACATAACTAAAAAAGACTTTAAAACAGTTTAAAAATACAATTCAACAGTCAAAATATCTTAGCAGATGGCATTGTGGAACAAAACCCTGAGAGAACGGAAGAGTCAAAGATGCTTCTGGGTGTCTGCAGGAGTTGGAGCTAAAAGGCAAACCTCCCTACGAAGAGGGTCAGATTTTGGGGCCATCTAATCAGAAGCAAATTTCAGCTGGATAAGTTCTAGCTCTTAACAGAGTTACTGAATTCATTCTGTTGGGGGAGATGAGGAAGGGAAGACTCACGTGTTAACTCAGTATCCTCAAATTCTGGAGCTCTGATACCTTCGGAAGGATTGAGGTGTTTGGGGGCATGGCAGGAATAAGGATGCAATATGGGTTACACGGTAGTAAGAAAAAGGAGCAAGAACAAAGTGAGAAGAGGAAGCATAATAAAAGCAAAGGAAGGAGGAGGAGAGAACAAGGAAAAATCAATGAGAAAGAAGAGAAAGAGAAAAACAAAATGAGTGTAGTGAGGATGCTATAGCTTTCTATTATAATCAGCTGCTTCCTGAACCTTTAGGTTATAAACACTGGAACACCCTTTCTCTGGCTCCTGTCAGAATTTTTTCTTCCTAAGGCTATCAGAGTCAACGTGGGGACCACCTGCCACTCTTTATGGTCAGGCTTTTTATTAATCTTTATCAAGGCTTAATTACCAAAAGTGGTGTTTAAATTAATAGGACACTGTGAGTCAATTTTCATGTTCTGGTTCCAATTGAGTTTCTATAAATATAGAAAGCTTCTGATTTAGAATGGGGTCAATCTACCATAGCTTTTGTTTCAGCAAAGGACAGAATATGGAATCTTTAATTGTTCCATGTCTGTGTCCAATCAAATCAAAGTTTATTAGGCCCTCTATAGGTGTCAGCACTGGCAAGACATTGGGGGCATAAAGGTCAGTAAGACACTATCCTTATCTACTGAAAGAGAAGAATACAAGGAAATAGTTTCAATGCCATGTGACTCATAGAGTTATATAGGTCTGAAGATTAAAAACAGGTCGGTAGTGTTTGTGCCACTACAATTAGTTCAGTTGCTGGACCTTCAAATGTAACACATGAAACTGTAATAGTTGAGAGACAGTAGGAGTTAGAGAATGTAAAACATTTTACATTATTTGAGGAATGTTGGACCAAATCCCATGGGTATTGGGAAATATTGGAGGAATTTAAGCAGGATAGTCACGTGATCTATCTAGTGACAGTAGATCACTCTGATATGCAGGAGGAGGGAGATTTTGAGAGACATCAGGCTAGAAAACCACTTAGTAGGGTAACCATACATCTCAGCTTTCCTGGAAAAGGTCTAATTTATACTCTTTTTTTTTTTTCCTAGCATAATTATTAGTAACAGATCTTTCACTATGTGTCCCAGTTTGGATGATAAATTCTATGGTCACCCTACTAACTGGAAGTTTATTGCAGGGGTCTAGGTAAGGTTTTATGATGCGCAGAGTTCATCAGGTCTTGGCTAACAAGAACAAGCACTTGGACGCCTCTACAAATGTCTTAAATCCACCCCTCGCACAGATGTGGCAGGGAAAAAAGAGATCCCAGTGAAAATGTAATGTATCATTTGAATGCTAAATATTACAAATATATAATGACTAACAGTTAACCACTCAATGGGCTTGCCATTTGTCAGATCAGATTGTACTCATCTGAGAAAGACAAAAAGAAATGAGAATGTAAAATCATAAGCAAGGAAGAAAGGAAGTGGGGAAGGAAGTCAGAAAGATAACCCTTGGTTGTTCAGGGGCATGAGTCCTTGCTCCTGTTCTTGAAATGGAGCTGAATTTTCTTGGAAGGTTTAAACTCTTGCTCAAGGATAGCAGAAAGGGCTGTGGAAGCTCGTTAAAGTTTCATCAGTCTGGGGTCATTATAACCTTGGAAGATGGTAAGTACAGAGGCAATTTAGTCAACTGAAAGAAACAATTGTTCGTTTCCTAGTGCACATATTTAATCATGAGCTGTCACTTGGGCCTCTTGTTAGAACCCAGAAAAGGTTATTTGGTGGCAATAATTGGGGAATATTTTAAAAAGGGATAGAGCAACCAGACCCAGGAGAAAAGAGATGTTGCTATCAGGAATACACTTTAGCAGAAAAAAGAATATGAATAAGAGTAAACGAAAAGCATGAAGAGCTGTCATTTCCTTTATTTTATGTTTAAATGCTCCTCTTTCCAGTTTCTCATCTTGTAGGTATGAGGCAGGCCTTTTCTCCACTCTAATCCCACTATTACCATGTATTTATAGTAGTTATCTACCAGAAGCTCACAGGGCTGCCTCTGAATCCATGACACTTTAGAAAGTACTGCTTAACAAAAGGGGGATGCTCTGATTTCATCCGTCATATCATTAAATATTCTAGTGGGAGCTTGGAGCTGGATTTGTCTTAGGCTGGTGATTTTGCACTGGGCTGCACACATGCACTTCGCAGCTCCACAATTGCCCAGGCAAGAGGAAACATGGGATGATTTTGCAGCTGGGAGCCAGGACTGCCATCATCCCTTTGCTTTCAACTGTGACTCAGGGAAATGTTTCCAGTCTGCAAAGAATTACCTAGTTTGCTGATTTACCTTCATGGCTCCTGATGTCCCCAAAACATTTCTGTTTGAAAGCTCTCTTTGTCCACAGGCAAAACAATTTGCTTAGATTTTAAATCTCGAATGTTCTATTTGAGATTTTAAATCTCAAATGTTGTCTATTTACACTTTTTAGACTGTCATTTGCAGAATTTATCATATTTACTTCCTCTGGATTTTGCTTCAGTGAAAGAATTGAATAAGAAAAAAAAATCCTCTGTGATGGAAGGGGATAGGTTTGGAGATGGAAATATTTTAGCAGTCCCCTCAGAATTTTATTTGCAGCTTTGTTTCTCTTTAAAACAAAAAAAATACATGCTTCCAAGGCATCTGTAATTTAGTGAAATAAAACTCAAATAATTGCCTTGGATTACACAGAAAGTTGGTCTTTTCATATTTTTCATTTAGCTAAAAATTAATATTTAGAAAAGAGAAGTAGATTAAAGGTAATCTTGGCTTCTATATAATTCTAGAAACTGACAGAGTTCTTAATAAGCCCTTTTAAAGTCTCAACTAGCCATTCCTATTTCTCTGCCTCCTTCTCTTCCTTTTTTCTGCTTGTCTTTCCTTGTCTTCCTCTTAAAGGTTAGGCAAACACTGTGCTCATAAACCACTGTGAAAATACTTTAGAATATAAACTAGGAGGTAAGGCACAGGACATTTCTTTTAATCTCTGGCATTTAAGTTCATTGTTTATTTTATGAATAATTTAAATTGGTCAATGACATAGAAATCGGATAGGTTTATGAGGTAGTTTTTTTGTTGTTGTCAGATATATAGTTTGATATTTAAAATAATGTTAATAATGTTGGTTTTTCATTAAATCGAATGCTTCCTTTGAAACTGGATAATCCTAGGCATGTAACAATACATGTGCCTAATCTTCAGAGTGACCATAGAAGGGATCAAATGTATAAATGTATGTATCTTCCTTTTAATAGAATAAGCTCAGTGCTCAAGTGCAAAGACAAACAACTCAATTACAAAAATAATAGCTAAATCAAAATTAATATCAATTCAAATTAGGACAAAATTATGTCATCAATATTTATTTAATAAATGTGATTTAAATTTTTATTTGAGAACCAGCTAAAAGAGCCAAGAACATTTTCCTTTTAGGATTCTTGATATTTTGGTTGTATGTAAAACGAACACATGTGTGCATGCACACACACACATGAAATAAGAAGTGACAAATCGTGTACAAATCCCCAGCATTTACCTTAAAAACACAAAGCTAAAATATATATGTTATAATTATTAGAAGGATTTATTTTGTAATAGGCTTTACTTTTTGTGCACTGTGTAGACCGACGTTTTATAAAGTTTTTGTCGCTAGGTACGTAAAAATAGTTTTTTCTATTCTTCATATTGCAATGTCATTAGAAGATAACTAGTTAATCTCTCCCTTTTTTGTTGTTGTTGTCGATTTTAGGATTCAAGAAGGATTCATAAAACACCACTGCATAGTAATGCAGTTATTACGATGATCTATTTGGGGAAAAATCTGCACCTATCTTATGATCACCCAGACTTCCGGGATGAAATAAAAGTTTATCAACAGCACTGTGGTGGGGAAAACCTTTGTGTCTACAAAGGCAGACTACTTGAAAAAGGTACACATAAAATGTGAATTCTTTTTAATTGCTCGAAGTTGATGTTATAGATAAGCTATTGTTGATATTATATCAAAATGAGTTCAATCACTCTATGAAATTATGCATATCTAGGGACTTATAACCCAGCTGCCTTGAAGTAAATCTAGATTTACTACGGCATGATTGAAACTGAAGCAGCAATTACTCTTGCAGATTGTGGAAGAAAGAATCTGGAGTGATTTAACCAGTAACAGATTAATTTGGGATAGAGATATATGATCATTAAAATGTTGCACGAATAAACTGTCCCCCAAATTACAAGTTAATTATTTGGCTTGCCATAGTCGATTATATTATACATTATTCTAAGAGAAAAATACCAGGTTGGCAATTTGTTTTTTTGAAGCATGTTGAGATAAAGTCACAAATCCAATAAATTCACGGTGAATCACACCAAAATAACATGGTACAGAATTTGGCTAAATGAATTTAGTACATTTCCATTTTCATTTGATCATAAATCCATGTTTGTTAGTGTTGCAGAGGAAGAAATTTTCCTCTACACTTCTAAGTTCTAGCTGGTCTAAAAATCGAATTGACATGAGATAGAGTAATAGGAGAAAATAACCAAATTTAATTATGTATATATCTACAGGGGTTCCATAAGAATATGGGCCATAGAGACAAACTGGGCAGTTGAGTCTTACCTACCTTTTTAAAATAAGGAGAAGGAGTAGGAAACTGAGACTTCAAAGAGTAGGAAGGCAGTTCACAGGGAGATGGAAAGCAAATGTTTAGGAAACAAATGTTTGCTAGGCCGTGCAGAGACAATGGGATGCAGAATGAACTTAGATCTTTAGGCCCTGATGAGTCTCTCCTAGTTCATATTATAGTATAGTGATCTGTGGTGATAGCTCCCTTCCTAGAACAGGCCCTCTATCTAAATTCTTTTAGGCAGCAGAGGGGAAAGTCAAAGATTTTTCCTGAGTCCTTTGTTTCTTAAAAATAACCAGCTTAAAATAATTAATACCCCAAAGAGACATGTTTTGGAGTAGCAAAATCTCTCCCCTTCATTAGCATAAAATAAATTTTATATTCCATATAGCAGCAGTCCCCAACCTTTTTGGCACCACAGATCTGTGCTCCTATGAGAATCTAATGCCTGATGATCTGAGGTGGAGATAAAGTGGTGATGCTAGCGCTGGGGAGCGGCTGCAAATACAGATGAAGCTTGCCTCGCTGGCCCGCCACTCACCTCTGGCTGTGCGGCCCAGTTCCTAACAGGTCATGGACCAGTACTGGTCTGCGCCTGGGGACTGGGGACCTCTGCCACACAAGGTTTCACATATGCAATGGTTTTCGTCAGTATTTAGTTCTGTGGAATAGCAATTAAAAGTAACAGTTATTATAGGATTATATTTGTTATTTCCTAGTTTGAGAAACTGTTTAAAAAGTAATCATGTTTTTACTAATGAAAAGACATTTTTATTTGGGTCATCTTGATCTAGACTTGGGGGTCAAGGAAGGAGTTGTGGGGAAACACAGAGTTACTTTTGGCTTTCTCATTCTCCCTCATCAAGCAAAATCAGTGATATTAATTTTAAAAACTCAAGTACTTAAAAAGAAACTATGCATATTTAAGGATTAAATATTAAAACTTTCCAACATAAGAAAGGGTAAACACTTAAATGTTAATTTTAATATTTTACTTTATGAAATATATAAAATTTATAAAAAATAATGCTCAATAATGCTAGAAACTATTTCCCCCATTTTATATATTTGACTGAAATGTAATTTATTTTGACTTATTTTATCATAGCATTTGAGAATTCATTCCTTCTGTTTTGTAGGGGAGGAAAATGAGAGGAGGCCAGAGGTCCAGGCTTTCCAAGGTCACACGTACAGTTCTGGAAAGGGTCAAGAATAGATCTTGGCCCCTCAACTATGTGCCGGACCTCTGCTCAGTACTATCCAGCTCCAGTTAGCTATTCTCAGTTGCAAAGAGTTTCCTACATTTTCATAGTATAAAGGGTATGAAACTGCTAATGATAGTGACATAGATACATGCACTTATCTTTTTTAAGTATAACTTTCAACTACTAATTTAGAAGAATTGCTGAAATTAGCTATAGTCTAAAATTGAAATTAATATAATGAAACTCTTCCTGGGTCTCAGATCATGCTTTATTCAACAAAATGCATGTATAATGTCTATTCGACTGCTGGAAACCATGATACATACAAATGAAAAAAGAACAAGACTTAGCTAAATGATTTTCTGGGAGACAATATACACTCTGTGATAAGAGCGTGAAACCAAAGGTTATGCGAGAGTGTTATTTGGTTAAGTGTTATTTGCATACATATTGATCTTGGGACTGGCTTTTTGTAATGTCATTGGACAGTCTAGAATAATAGGATGGGATAGGGACTTAAATAATTGAATCCTGTCCACACAATAATTTTGTCTCAGCTTGTTCTTGATTGCCAGGAAAGTAATTATTCAAAATTGAAAAGTTCGGTGACTCAGAGTTGACTTGTGGTTCAGTAATTTTAGCAATTTAGCGGAACTAAAAAGAATCTGCCCTTTTTACAAATCAAAACTGTGCAAGATTCAGTGAAATGTGAATAGTTTTTTTAGAAGACTTGTTTAAAAAAGGAGTGTTTAACGTTATGCTTGGAGCAGTAAACTCATTAAAAATGTGGCATTCATTAACTTGTCTTGCTTTCAGATGAGAAATAACAATAAAATTAATTATTTAGTAATGTGGCAAGTGCATCTTTTATTTCCATAGTAATTCATGATGTCTTGTGGTTTGATGTTAGACATCAAGTCATTTGTTGATTGTTTATTATGTACACCTATGAAGTTACTGAATATTTCTGCTACTTGCAAAGAATACAGTTCTTCATAGGCATCTTGATTTACCATGTTCATCATTTCAAATGAGGCAAACCTTGGCTTCCTAGGTTCATGTGGATACAAAGAACCAAATAACTTTTTTCTGACCCTCTTATAATCCTTTTCTTTTCTGCCTCCTTTTCTTGTATTTCTATCATCTGATCCTGTTGTACCTATTTGTGCATTCCGCATTGCTTCCTCATCCAAACCCTCAATGCTGTTATCTTGTCTTTTTGTGTGCTATTTCCTTTGTAATTCAAATAGGATTTTAAATTCAAATCTTACCCATCTTACAAGATTCACATTAAGGCTGTGAAGCTTTCTCAGCTGATTTCTATTCTGGGTTATCCTTCTCTCTTGATGGCTACGAATGTTATTCACTTAAAACCAAAGCATTTCATTGTACTGCGACTTATAATAACTAGTTTTTACTTCTTTTCACTTATCATATATTGATTTTTTTTAGTTTTTAAAAATATCTTTACTGAGGTATAACTTACATTTTATAAAATTTATCCATTGTAAATGTACAATTCATTGATTTTTAGAAATTTTATAAAGTTGTGCAGGCATTATCATAAATCAGTTTTAGAACATCTCCACCACTTCTAAAATTTCCCTTGTAACTTTTGGTTGTTACTCTTCACTCTCACAGCTGGCCCCAGGCAACCACTGACCTGTTTTCGGTCTCTAAAGATTTGCCTTTTCTGGACATTTTATATAAATGAAATTATATAGTAGACAGTATTTTCTGTCTTGCTTCTTTCACTTAGCATAATGTTTTTGAGAGTCATACACTTATAGCATCTGTCAATACTTGTTTCCTTATATCAATGAATATATATTTTTCATTATATGAATGTACCATGTTTTATTTATCCATCTCTAGTTGATGGACATTTGTACTCTTTCCACTTTTAGAGCTATTATAAATCACACTGTTATGAATATACAAATAAAAGTTCTTGTGTAGGCATCTGTTTTCATTTCTCTTAAGTAGGTTCCTAGGAGATGGCTTTTTTCCCCTGAGTATGGGTCACACTTTCCAGTTTCCTTACATGTCTTTTAACTTTTTGTTGAAAATTGAACATTCTAGATCATGTATTAGAGCAACTATGGATTCTAGTTTCTGACTTTTCTCTCCTGTTTTTGTTGTTGTTTGTTTAGTAACTTTTTTGGAACAAGTCTGTGAAATTATCCTCTCTCTCCTTTGGTATACAGCCAGTGATGTCTCTGCTCAGATTTTTTTAAATTCTATTTTTATTTTTTAGGCTAGTCTCTTAGGGTTGGTTGTCTTTGTATTTTATAGTTTAGTAATCATCCAGATTTGTCAGAGGTTGTTTTCAAAAACGTTGAGCCAGTAAAGCCTCCACCTTCTGCCAGTGGATCTGTTTGTGGGTGTGTTAGTTTCTTGGGGCCTGGCATTAAAAATGTCCCTAAAACTGGTGGCTTAAAACAATGGAAATTTATTCTCTCACAATTCTGGAGGCCATAAGTGTTAAATAAAGGTGTTAGCAGGTTTATGCTCTCTTTAAAAGCCCTTAGGAAGTATCTTTCCTTGCCTCTTCCAACTTTTAGTGACTCCCAGCAGTCCTTGGCATTCCTTGGCTTGTAGCTCCAATATTCCAATCTCTGCTTCTATCTTTACATGTCATTTTCTCTGTGTGTCTCTGTGTGTGTCTTCTCCTTTTCTTATAAGGAAATCAGTCATTGGATTTAAGACAAAACAAATCTAGGATGATCTGATCTTGATGCCTCACTATTATATTTGCAAGGACGCTCTTTCTAAATTGGACCATGTCCTGAGGTTCTGGATGGTCATGAGTTTTTAGAGGGCAACATTCAACCCACTACAGTGGATTCAGGAGTACCTTCAAAGTTCGGGCATTTTTCAAGTCTGTACCAACTTTGATTTTTCTGCCAGGCTTTCTTATATTTCTTTTGTTCATCGGTGCAAACTTCCGGTTGGCTGGGGATGTACGAATAGGTTGGGCCCACTCCAATCCGTGCCACTTCCAGTTAACCGAGGATATATTGAGAGTTAACTGAATGTGTTGGGGAGGGGAAATTTCCCTTTTCCCTCCTTTGGTTCTTTGAGCTAGTTGAATAATTAAAATGACACACAGTGGATTAACAAGGGAAAATCAAATTGAATAGGTACATATGAAGAATCTGCACAAACATACGAGATTCCAAAGACAATTAGTCAGGACGAAGTATATATATCATTCTGGACCAAGGATAAGGAGGATAGAGGTCTAGAATTTCAGAGGAAAGTAAGGCAATTCACAGTTAGATGAAAGGAACTAATGTTTGGTAAATAAATGTTTTCTGGGCCATGCAGAAACAATGGGACAGAGAAAACTTTGATCAGGTGGGACTTGCTTGCTTCTCCCTATCACACCTAGTTCATATTAAACTGTAGTTATATATAATGATAGCTCCCTTTATTCAGTAGGTCCTCACAATTCTTTTACGCAGTTAAGGGGAAGGTAAAAGGTTCTTCCTGAGTCTTTTGTTTCCTGAAATTAATCAGCCTAAAATAATATTTATGCCAAAGAGACACACCTTTGAGTGGCAAATTTTGCTGTCCTCCAAATGCATCTATGATTGTTTTATTGCCTGTATCTCACTGTAACATTTCTGGCTAGTACACTGGTCTGTTGCTTGCCCTAATTCAAACTAGTTTTGGTTTAGCAGAACCTCTGGCCTTTCATGTTAGCTTGCCTCTGAAATTGCTACTTATTAGTGGTGATGCCACTGGCCAAGTTTTTTTTCTTCTGTTTCAAATGAAGCCAGCCCCCACTGACAATGAAGCTGCTTGTTATTTATGGCTTGCTCTCCCTTATTAGAACTATAGTGACAAAGTCATGGCAGGTGAGAAGGATGGAAGCATACCCAAGCAAGAATGCCTCGGATTTCCACTGTTCTTACTAAAAGTTTAGTAATTTTTTTTATGAATAACGGCTGCTCCATTTATTTTACACCAATGGTCCATTTTAAGAGGTAATATTTTAAGGGAATAGAATTCGGTGACCTCACTCCAAAAGTTTGGTATATTAATTTTGTCTCTCCTGTTAATTACTACTTCTTGAAGGAGGAAACCACATTTGATATCTTTCTAGTGTTTTTAGTTCTCGTTAGTGCCTTAAAATAGTGTTTTTCATTGTCTGTCAATAATGAATAGCTATTTTATAAATATTATAGAATGCCTTTTAATATTGTATATTATATAATCTTTAAGACTGCTCTGTGAAGTGGGCAGATTGGGTCACCCCCTCCACCTCACTTCTTCATCCACTCCTCCTGCCATCTCTATTTCATAGATGGGAATTCTGAAATGTAAATTTCTGGTGTTTTTTTTCCACTACTCTATGTTGGAACCATTAAGTCAAGGTTGGGAAGTGTCATTAAAATTTAAAAGATAAAATTACAAAAGAATTAACAAGGGAATAAAGATCAAGTGTGTCAATTCTTGTTTAATAAATTTGAAAAAAAATGGAAGAAATGGAATAATAATAGATGGATGAGCTCTTCAGTCACGTGAGTACCTAAGGGAAGGGCAATCACATCTAGAAGCTGATGTCCTATGCCTATTCTCAGCATTTCCTTGGTTGTACACTCTTCCTGGGCTGGGTACTTCGAGAATCATGGGTTGTGACACTGAAGCAGAATGGATCATATTACATGAATGTTCCATTCAGGTTTCTGTATGAAAGCTGTCTAACTAGCTTTCTAGTCATCACTTAAGGAGTCCAAATATCATAAAGACAAGTCTATTTTAAAATCCAATGCATTTTAGTTTCCCCAGACACTATCTTTTCAATTTTCTCTTTCCTAGTTTAATTTACATCATAAAAACTAAGGCATAAATGATGAAAATTATCTTTTTGATAAGTCTGTTCATTAGTACACGTTGCATCTGATTTAGATTTCTTTTTAGAGGCACAATATAGTATAAACACAGTATTTCTAGATGATTCCAAAAGAAATAGGTTAAAATAATAATTCACTAATTATTTATTGGGGCCCTCCTATGCCCTTGGTTCTGGGATCTGGGGAAAAGAAGATCAGTAAGGCCAGTTTCAGATCTCACAGATTTCACAAACATGCAGGACAGCAAACATCAGGGTTCTCAATGTGTGGTCCCTGGACGAACAGCATAAGCAGAACGTGGCAACTTGGTAGAAATACAAATTCTTGGGCCCTACTGAATCAGAAACTCTGGGGCGAGGCCCAGTAATCTGTGTTTTAATAAGCTCTCCATGTGATTCTGATGCACACTAAAGTTTGAGAACCGCTGGTGTAGGCACATTTTAATATATTGTAATAAGTGCAACAATAAGAAATATGCACATAGCAGAGGCAAAAATAATTAACTCTATGATCAGTAGAAGTAGAAGGGTCCAGGGAGGCTTCTTTTGTAGGAAGGGACATTAGAAGTGTCAAGGAAGCAGGTTTCTGGGTCACTCTGTAAAATATGGTTTCTCAGGCTTAGGTTTCGGGACCTCTAGGGTGAGATGTTTTCAGTGAGCCTTGTAAAGACTTGGAATGATTAAAACCTATTAATTATAAGCAATGGTTCTTAATTTATTGGTGGGACATTTGGATAAATGGGGGAGCAAGAAACAGCCTTAAATTCAGATAGAATTGAAAATGGATTGGAGATGCAATAAGTCTGCCCCATGTATATATGTAATAGGATGTTTCAAGTTACAACTAAAAATATACATTTATTTAAAAGCATTACTGGGCTCACAGTAGCCTTTGTCATGTACTTTTTCAATAGACAACATAGCAGGATAGAGACATGGAATCTAGAGAGATGTTTGGATTCAAATATTAACTCTCTCACTTACTGTATGATTGTGGGTAACTTATTGAATTTCTCTAAGCCTTAATTTCTGCATCTAGACTAGTGATAATAATATTTCCACTTCATGTGGTTGTTGAGAAGTAACACATCTGAGATAATCAGGCATAATGCCTGGCCATAGGAAGTGCTCATATAATGTTAAGTGTCATTATGTTGCATATCAAAGAGCTTTATAAAGCCTTGGAGTATTTTTTATACATAAAAGTAATAGAATGTGTTTTTATGAATTAAAATCTGTCATTATGTTAAGAAAGCGATCCAAACCAGGGGTCCCCAACCCCTGGGCCACATACCAGTACTGGTTTGTGGCCTGTGAGGACCGGCGCCGCACAGCAGGAGGTGAGCACAAAGCTTCATCTGTATTTGCAGCCACTCCCCAGCACTAGCATCACCTCTCACCTCCACCTCACATCATCAGGCATTAGGTTCCTATAGGAGCACCGGTCTCTGATGCCAAAAAGTTTGGGACCACTGAATTCTAGACTATAATGTTATACTTATGTAATAGAAAAGTTTGATTTAGAACATGTTTGTACAAAGTCAGTTGCTTTCACTAATGTATTTCCTTTTTAATTCCAGAGACCTTTCAGTTTATTTCCAAAAGGCACCATGGTTTCCCCTTCAGTCTCACCTTTTTCTTGAATGGGATCCAGGTGAACAGGTTAAGCTCCTGCTGTGAATATAAGCATCGAAAAAGTTCCAGACTTGGAGGCAAACGAGGCTACTTTGGGTTTGTGTGCGTGGAGAGATCATCTCCTTGCTACAAGTATGGAAACAAATGCCCTTTGGTAGAGGGCAAGTTTTGCTACCTTTTTCTTCTTATGCTTTGACTGATGCACAATTTGTTAAGAAAGATGTCAGTGTAGATGAGCCTAAAATATCTAAGTTAAAGGTTATTTATTAAAATCCCTTGTTTGGTATTTGAAATAAGATAAATTAGATGCTCACATGTGTTTCATAATGGGAATAAAAACTAGTGCTGTTTCAAATTCTGTTTCTCTCTGAATCTTCCTTTCCTCAGTATGCTTTTAAGTTCTGTTTCTGAAGTGAAGGAGAGGGGTTTTTTTTTCTTTCTTTTTTTCTTTTTTCTCATTCCTCCTAGTAACTGGTTTTGGGCTGAGCCCCAAAACATGTGCAAGCATCTGGCTTGTATAGTTGGACATTATAGGTTGTGCATTTTATAGGTGTGCTTGCATTATGGTGTGGCCCAAATATCATTCTCATTGAAACTATGCTCCTAGTTTCAATCTCGGGCATAAGAAAATGCACGATCAGAGGTAAGTTGTTTATTAGCTTTCATACTGGACTTTCTTTCTGAAGTCAGGAGACTCGCTTGCATGTTTTTTTAAATTTTTTTCTGAAAGTACTCATGGAGATTGACTATATGCTAAACTAGAACATGGGAATGAACTAACCAAAGTATCTGCCTCCATGGAGCCGATTCTAATGGGGAAAGGGCTAACATCCCAATAAACCCATTAATATATATCGGACTATAATAAGCATGATAAACACAGAACAAGTTAAGGGAGATATAAGTAGTGAGGCGGGGAGAAGGGTCAGAGGGTGGAATTATTTTATATAAGACGGTCAAGAAAGCCTTTTCTGATAAGATGTCTTTTGAGCAGAAAACAGAAAAACATTCTTTCCTCTAGATAGTTTTTCAGGTAGAAGAAAAGTGTATACGGAGGGTAAGAGGCAGGAATATGCTTGGTGGCCAGAGCAAAAGTAAGGAATAGAACAATAGAAGATGAGGTCAGAGAGACCATGGGGCCAAGTTACGTAGACCCCTAAGGTCATTGCAGGGACTTTGACTTTTATTCTGGGAGGGATGCAAAGCCTCTAAGTTAGATTTGGGGCAATGACCTGTCATGATTTGACAGTAGCTCCTATGGGAAAAAATAAACTAGGCAGGTGAGGGCAAGAGTGGAAACTACTTTATTTCAGAAATGAGAGAATGGTAAAAAGAGAAATGACTGGGTTCTAGATGTATTTTGAGAGTAGAGTTTATAGGATTTATTGATGGATTGAATGCTGGACATGTGATAAAGAACAGAGCCAAAGATGATTAAAAAGTTTTTGGTCTGAACAACTGGAAAGATGTCTAGTTAACGTGTACTAAGATGGAGAAGACGGTGGGGGAAAAAACAGGGTGAAACAAAGAGATTTTGGGTTTAGACATACTAAGTTTGAGACATCTATAGGTTCTGGTAAGAGGTCCAAATTGGGAATATAAATTTGAGAATTATTTGCTTATAGACGGCATTTAAAGTCTTAAGATGGGATGAGATTGCTTACGAATTGAATGCAGATAGAGAAGATGCTTGAGTAATGAACTCCAGGTTACTTCAGTTAAAATATGAGGGAGATAAAGAGGAACCAGCAAAAGGCCTAAGAAGGACAGGCGGTGATTAGAAAGAGAACTTAGAGAGAGTGGTGTCTTGGAAATGAACAAAATGTTTGAAGAGCTTGATCAATAGGGTTGAATGTGTGCATAGGTAAAGTAAGTGAAGAATGAGGATCAAGCATGATTTGGTAATGTGTTGGTTATTGGTGATCTTGGCACAAGTAATAGTAGAGTGGTAGGAATGTAAGCCTAATTGGAGTGGGTTTAAGACATAATTGGAAAAGAGTAAGGCCAGATAATATAGATCATTCTTTTAAAAGATTTCAGCTATAAAGGATGGAAATTGGGTGACAGCCAGCGGGGAGGATGTAGGAGTCAAAGGAGGCTTTTTATTTTTCAAGATGGGAGCTATTACAATAAGGTTATATGCTGATAGATAGGATTGATACTCCAGAGAAGAAAAAAAAAATTAATTAAGCATAACATAGAGGGAGAAATGGCTAGAGCAAAGTGCTTAAGTAGACTAGAGGAGATAGGATCCAGGGCTCACATGGGGGCATTAGCCTTAAAGGAGAAGAAATATTATAGTAACAGGTGGAGAGATGGCATATAAGATAGAAAGAGGTAAATTGGTGGATGTGTTTGGGCCAACAGATAGTTCTCTGTGGATTATTTCTATTTTTTTTTTTTTTTCCAGTCAAACAAGAATTTATCAGTGAAGTTAAGATTGAGGAAGGAGGGATTTGGAAGGTTTTGGAGAGAGATGAGATATGAGTCATCCAGCAAATGGGAGAGCAAATGGTCTCAGATGATACAATAGGGGTGCCCAGGAGTACTTTGGACGCACCTGAAGTTGCTTTCTTGTTCCATCTCAAATATGCTTCCTCCATATTTGTGAGCGAGTCATTCAACACATATCTGTTTAACTCTCAGGAAAGCTAATGAGCTTATATACCATCATCCTTGTGCAAACACATCACATTCTTTGGGAGTTGCTGTACAAATCCAAGCTATAAATATTTGATCCTAAATATTCCCTATGGAGATTCAATAATCGTTACCAAAATCTGATTCATGACAAGTTCTCTCCTATTCGATACTTACTAGCCTCTGTCCAATTCTTTATACCATTTCACTTGGTCCCTTCTAGCTTCTTTCTTTGAACTTTTCAAATAACAACAACAAAAATAGTTGTAGCATTAGAGTAAGATCTATTATCCTCAACTAAAAGGCTCAGTTCTCATAAAACATTAGTTTTCTTTATCTTTAATTTTATTTTTAAAAATTTAATTTTTTTTAATCTTTTGAGTCCCTTCACCTATTTACAATATTTTGTTGGCTTCATAATCATTTCTTCAAATGAAATCTGTGAATGTCCGAAGTAGAACAGTGTGGTGTCACTTGAATTCTCCTTGCTGCAGACCAGGTAAACGTCGAGGCAGAATGGTTTAAACAGGGGCAAGGATGGGTAGGTGAGTGCTGGAGCCTTGCCTGTTTGTCCCTGTCCCACTTGACACTACTCTGATTATTCTAGAAGTACCCATACTGCAGAACTCCAGTGAAAATTGAGACCTGCCCCTAAGGAGACTGATCACTTATCATATTGTATAACTTTTTGGGGGGTCACATCCATAATAATACTTATGTTATTTTAAAGAGCTGTACATTAATTCCTCCAGTTCTTTAAAAATGAAATTTATTTTAATTCATTTAAAAATAGTGATTCCTAGAACTTTTATTGCGATAAAACAGTAGGGAATTATAGTTCTAAAAATAATTAGGAATTATGTGCTTAAGGTCCTCAAAAAACAAGAAAACTTTGGCAGTGGTCACTTCCAAAGTGCAGAAGTTCCACAACTGAACTTATACCTCACTTATGGAAACTATTTGACGAGACATGGTAGTTACTCTCAGTTACTAGAGTGAAACACAGGAAGAAGAATTGCCTAACCAAATAGAATACAGAAAGCTTCAGTAATCAGAATCAACACCTCAAATTATACTCTGAAGCCAACTAGGTAGTCAGTGATGAGGAGAGCACAGATGTTACCCACTTTGTTTGTCCAATTCCCTTAAGCAGATGGGCAATAAAAAGTCTGTGCATGCAGTAGGGAGGCATCAAAATATCTACACAGTCACAACATAAACTTGAAGTAACAGCATAGCAGAGGCTCCAAATCAATGGATTTGGTATTGCCATTGATAAGGGAAGAACAGCTTGAACAGAAGGCAGTGTAGGTAATCATATTCTGTGAAGATTCATTTCCCTTTTATTCCAAGGAAAGCATACTTTCCTAAGTATGTCATCATTACAGTTGGGAAGTATTTATATACTTAATATAGGTGAGGTAAGTGTATTCTTATTATCTCATTTTTTACAGCCCAATAGCTACTTTGAGTACAGATCCTTTTAGCTTTATTTTATGAGGAGATATTGAAAAGTGATGTAACTAAGTTCTCGTATTTGCTTGTGGGAAGAATTAATTCCTATTTCTAGACTAGAGATGATTGAAATTCAGTAAAATCTTTAATTAAAAAAAGTGCCATTGAATTTGATTCACATTGAGGCAATTTTCAAATCCTACATATTATTTCTATTATTCCTAGACCAACAAGTCGTGACTGAATTCTGATCTCTTTTCACCTACCCATCGTAATTGATTCAGTTCCCCAATAGTTGTGTAACCTGGAGAGAGGGGGACATGTATATTTCTAGAGGAGGAAGAGAGTGGAGACTGATAAGTGCCAGGCCCCTGTTCCAGGTCATGAATTATCTCTAGACCCTGATGAAAACTTCTTCAGGTTCTATTAGTCTCTGGTGGGGAGTGTGAGTACTTTCCCTGGTGGTAAGCTCAGCGGTCTAATGTTTGTAGGTATAGCTAGTCTCTTGAGAAGGTTATATCTGTAATCTAACCATGCTTTTGTACTTGAGTGTGAGGTGATGATGTCTAACAGACCTGAGCTGGAATCCAGCTCCATCACTAACCTGCTGGGTGAGTTCGGGCACATCATGGAACCCTTTATGCCTCACTTCTCTCATTTGAAAGTAATGATAATAGTTATTAATTAATTGGTCTGTGGGGGAAATGCTGTAAGATAATGTATATATAGTACACAGGAAAGAGCTTGGCACAGAGAGAGTGCTCTGTAATCTTATTATGATAATCATCATCTTATTAATGTATCATCACTATTGGAATTCTTATTTTTATGTTAACTGAGAAATAGGAAAAAAGCTATAGAAGGATTCATTCCCATGATTTTTGTTGTAACTGATTTAAAAAATTTTAAAGTCTTAATACATTTAGATCATCTTCTTGGTTCATCAGATTTGACTTTGAATGACTTTATGCCCTCTGCAAATTATTGCCATCTTTAAAGAACAAAAGCTTATTGCCAGCAGAAATCACCAAAGATTGTGGTATAAGTTTCAAAAGGCGATTCTAAAAATAATAATAACACTTTATTAAAATAAATGTGAAGGCTCCTGAGGTGTTTATTTAAAGGACACAACAATTTTGAATGTATATGTTTCTTAAAAAATCAGTCATTTATTTAGAGTCAACCTTATATGTCATTTTTTGTTGTTAGAATAATAAATTATCAAAGACTGAATGCCATCTTTCTTCTTCTGATTATTTTTCTCTCTGCTCCCCTGTGTTTATAAACCTGAATGTTCTTTTATCACATAATTCTCATTTAAGGACTTGAGTATGTGTGTATATATATATATATCACAAGTCCTTAAATGAGAATTATGTGATAAATAGAATACAGAAATATATGACTCTAAGGCCAAAAATATGCTTTAAGGCACAAATTTTAGATTGAGACTATAGTTCTTAGTTGTTGTTCTCTTTTCTTATTTATTATTGAGGGTAAAATTATTGAGCATTTGTCATGTTCATTTATAAGATTTTAGTATTAATAAAGAGGAAATAGTTTATTTTAAATTAACTATGTGTACGATAATAAAATATTTCTTATGATGTTTCTTACAAGAATAAGTGATTTAAAAAGTTTTGAGGTTCCACTGTGCTATACATAAAGATTAATAAACTCCTTATGTTCGTATTTTCATAGGTGCATTATTGCAATGGGTCTTGACAAAAAACCAACATCACCAAAACCTAGGAAACAAAGGAGTATTCAAAAAAGAGAGGAACTGGAGAAGGGTGAGGGGAAACTGAGGAAGGATAGAGCATACATGATACCAAGAAGGAATGAGATGGAAGGGAACAAAACCTCTGCTTCAGTCATTTTTTCAGCCGAAGAGGAAAAAATAGGGATCGAAGAAGTAAGAACTGCAATAGAAGAAATGCAACGTAGAGGAAAACCAGGACAAGCTGTTTGGGAAGATGACCATGAAAATCTATTTAAATACGGTAATGAATAATAACACAGGGTTCTTCTATTGTTGCTGCTATTCTTTTGCTTGTCTTAAAAATGTGATTACCAAATTTGCAAAAATATTCATTGTGTTATTACTCAGTGATGATGTTTAGGCAGTGCTGTTACACTGAGGAATCCCTGACCACCTTCCTTTACTGTTTTGCATGGATTCCTGTGCACCTGCCTTAGGGGAGGGCAGGCCTAACTCCAGAACTGCTGACTGTGCTTGTGGGTGGAGGAGGGCAAGGGGAGTTTATGTCTGTGTGAACCAGAGTCCCTATCCACTTCTGCAGATAGAGACCATTCTGACCAAATAGAATTTGAAAAATATTTGAATGTACTCGCTTTGGTGAAATTGATGCTTTGGCATCAGGTAGGCACAATCTATATGATTATATGTTGGTAGAATATTCTTTAACTAGAAACAGCCTAGAGCCTCTCTGTCTGCCTTTCTTGTTTTCTTTTCTCCTCTCCTTTGCTCTCCTCTCCTCTTCTTTCCCCACCCCTCCCCTCTCCGTCTTTCCTTCTTCCTCTTTATCCTTCTTTCTCTCTCCCACCCCTCCCCTCTCCGTCTTTCCTTCTTCCTCTTCATCCTTCTTTCTCTCTCTGTCCTCCCCACCACACACACACACACACGTTCATAACACACACACACACACACGCGCGCGCGCGTGCGTGCACACACACACGTTCATTAATGTAGTAATGATAATAACAATAACAAAAGAACCAGGCACTGAGCACTCAGCCAGGCACTTTCCACATACTATTTCATTTTATCCTCACCATTCAATGTGGTGGATATTATAACCACCTCCATTTTACAAGTTGGGAAACTGAGGCTCAGACATATAGAGAGAAAGTATCAGAACTAGGATTCAAACTGTAGTTTTATCTCTACCTAACTTAAGTTCATTGGCTGGGTCCTTATAAATGAAACTGATAAGAGATTAACAAGGGATAAACAAACAAGTTTATTAGTATATGCATCGAACATACGCATGAGAGAACTCAGAGCTGAATAACTCAAAGGAGTTCCCAGAATTTAGACTTATGTGACATCTTAACAAAAGAGCAATTCAGTTTTAGAAAAGTGGCAAGACAAAGGAAAAGGGCTTTGAGCTTCTAGGGGCAGCAAATTGTGGGAAGGCAAATATATGGGGATCAAATGGTAGATAAGAGCTAGTTTTATTGAGATTTGTTATGCTGATTTCTCTTTTGCCATATCTAAAATGAAAAGGGTCTAGAGTTGTCTCCTTTGATTAACTTCAGTCCTTTCTGCTAAAGAGAGGAGAGGAGACACCTTTACAAATTTATGTCCTGCTTTGAGGCAAATAAGTGAAGGCAGCAATCTTTTCTTATATCTATTACTTCTCACTTGCCTTCAGATCAAAGTAAAGTGGCATATTTTGGGGTGGCACATTCTGCTACCCTTCAACACTCAGGCTTGTCTAATTTCTGGGCTATGTCTAATTTCAAAGCCCAGACTTTCAAATACTGTCCAACTTGATATTCTGTACAAGCCATCCTTGAAATGACCTGATTCTGGATGATATGTCAAAGAATCAGAAATCGGAGCTGCCTGAGTGTCCCTCTTACACCCAGAGGGCAAAGCTTGGATTAGAGGAGTAATAGCCACGGGCTGAGACGATGTGTAGAAGGTCTGGCATCAGGGAAAGGGCACATCATAGATATCTTCTTCCTTACATCATCTTGTTGCTGCCCAAGGCTTTTAGTTATCCAAGGGAATAATTACAGAACTGGTATAGCACTGGATTTTATGTTTGTTTATTACTGAAATAATGTATTCACATTATTTGTTTATTCCTGAAATAATGTATTCACATTATCCTTAAAGAGTTTTCACTCATAACACTGACCGAGTTATCTCTCTCCCTCTGTGATCCCTTCTCATCTCTATTATCTTAGACTGAGAATTTAGAAATATCTACAGCAGCACAGCAATAGCAGAGAGATTAACAAATGGGATGTTTTTTTGGTTTGTTTTAACTTTCAAGACATGTAGTTTTATTAAAACCACGTTCAATAGAAGCTTTTCATTTTCTTCATTTAGTTTCTCCTAAACCAACATGGCCAGGGCTATGGATAGCATACTTTATGTCTATAATACAGCTTTTCTGAGATCTTTCTTCTGTGTTGGATAGTTAATGGACTTTAATTGCTTGTTTCCATTAAAAAAAAAAAAAAGCAAGAAAGAAACAGCAGCAGCAAGGCGTCAGCTCTTTACAGCCGCTGATGGTAAGGGCAGCAAGAAGCTTGAGTGGAGGTCAGTGAGGGAGGGTTGCAGCTGGATTGATGTTGACCTCGTGTTGCCTCGCTTCCTCATTAGCAAGGATGGTAAACAACAAGCTAATTGAATTCTCTGTAATAAGGAAGTTGAAATGGGGGAAAAAGAAGAAATTATAAAAAGGACTTCTGAAAACATGCCACCAGTTCTTTCATATTGAAACTACATGAGTTGATGACACAAAGGAGATGTGCTTTGAGCTATAATGCTAATAGAGTACTCTGTGGTTAATAGAAGGCTAATATTTAGATGTGATAATAGTGGTGGGTAGAATAAAGCCAGGGCAGCCTTAAATTTCATATTTTTAGGGGGAAAAAAAACAGAAGCTCCTGCAAAATAGGATGCAGAGACTGCTCTTATGGCTCACTACGTATTCTTTCAATTTTATGCTCTGCTTCAATAATGTAACTGTAATTATGTCCTAATTGTGGACATTTGTACTTCTCTGATTTTAATCAGGTGCCTCCATTAAAGAGTACAGAGTACATACTGTGCGTGATTTTTCCTGTTCTACAACCAACTCCCTCTACCCCAATCACAGTCACTATTACTACTAATCCTTAATATTGATTAGGTACCTAATGACCATGGCACTGTATTAAGCATTTTCCAGGGTTTATTGCTCTTAATATTCACCACAGCTTTGTAAGGCAGATTGCCTAAGGTCGCACAACCAGTGAGTGTGTAAACTGGGACCTGGGCACATGATTGCCTGACTCCAAAACCCTCATATTTCCCTACTATCTAGTTCTATTGATGGAATTATAGCATTCACTCATGTTCTGTCTGGCCCTCTGCTTATCCTGTGACCAGGAACAAATATCTGTAAAGTGATATATGTGCATGTTTCTCTGTGTGCTTGTATTCTGTGGCTAACCTAAACACCACCTTTTACAAAGTTTTCCATGATCTCCAAATGACTTCCTGTCCTTCTTTAAATCCATTTCACTTGCTTGACACTATTTCACATAATTAATCAAGTCCTATATAAAAATCCACAGTAATTGAGCCCAATAGCATTAAACTAACATTATTGAGGATGATGTGTGAAAAATACTATGCGTACAGTAACACTTATGTATCTGTGTCTTATTTTCCAAAGAAAACTGGAGATTCCTTCATGGCAAGAGTCGGGTTACTATAATGTCTTTTATCTTACAGTTTTTATCCTCTTACACGTAAAGGCTTACCAATAGCTAACGGGGCCGAGTGAAGAACCATCCTATTATGTGGCCTGAAATGTTTGAATCCACATACTTATTTGTTTTTATTATATTTCCTGTTTGTTTCATGCAATATAAACCACATTCTTCATTTTCTAGCTTATTTTATAATTTTGTTTTACTACTAATAATTTACATTTTCGTTCATATTGTCTCTTTCACAAAAACATTCTTGTGATGAATTCTTTTTGTTTGCCTTTATTCATTAAAGTTCCTGACTTCACCTTTCCTCTTAGCATCTCTCTCATACATTCTCTGCATTAACATGGCTTTCTTCAGATGCACAGGGCATGCATTTTTAAATTAAGTTTCTTTCACCGGTCAGGGTTTATAGCTCCCAAGCAATTACCTGAGAGGCCCCCACCACTGGAAAAGAAAACACTATTTAATAACTAAAACATACAAAAGAGGGAAAACTGTATTTTCCCCATAATTTTCATTTTTAAGATAATTGTTTATTTGCTTAATTGGTTCTGCATGAAATCCTTTTGCTCTCTATCTTTGGCATGTTGTCACTTCAAGATTGTTAGTTTTTGGTGGAAGAAAAAGAGGAACAATTAAATATGAAAGGTGAAAAATTATAACCACAAGGGACAGCTGGAGTTTATCTGATGTGACAATTTTCTTTTTCTGCTACAGATTTGTTGCAGCTCTGTAGGGAATGAAGCAAATTAGTGGCTGTGACAGGAATATTCTATTTTATAAGAATTTTAATCCTTGGAATATAATTATTTCATTGATTGTAAGGATTAATAATACATATGATTGCAGTTCTGGCTTAGGTATAAAATCTTTCGTAATACCTTTTCTTGATGTCCATTTGGTTCTCAAAGAATTGCTTTTCACAGTGTTGCTTCTCAGGGCCTTTGGACTTGATTAATTGAATTTTTCCACTTCACTATTCATTAACTTGATATCCAAATATTTTGAACATTCTTCATATGAAATATGACCTCACTGGATCTCCAAATTAACTTTCATTATTATACTCCTGTTCTCTTCATTTTTAATTTATCTCTAATTTATTGTTTTCTATCAAGTTCTTCTCTTGTCCATTTTGGTTATTGTAGATGATGATGTCCATTTGTATATGAACTCTTATTAGGTTTCAAGCTTGTCATTTGGAGCTTCATTTCTTTTGTGCCCTTGTATATGTAACTGATTGCAATCTTTGATCATTTGCTGTTAGCTTTCCATGTTCACTAATTGTGTGAAAAAGAGGCGAAGAAAGGCCTTGAGAAGAGAGGATAATAGAGTCAAAGTTCTCATTAAGTAAAATGAGTTAAGTGTCAGGGATTCTATTTTCATTCTCATAGTGGAAATTTTCTTTTCTCAGAATATGAAGAAGATTTTGAAGTAGATGAGGAGAAACAAGATGAGAAAGCTAATGAAGGACAGGATGATGATCAAATGAATGGAATGTCAAAGTCACCTTCGGATGATGAAAAAGATCATTTACACCTTGAAAAGGAGAGTGAAACCTCATCACAGAAGGCACTAGATGCTGATGACAATGTGAAAGATGAGGGTGATGGATGTTCTGAGAGTGAATTAGAAGAGGATAAACAAGGCAAGTTGTTTAGCTTATCATATGACATAGGCTGTTTAACAAGTGTGCCTACTACTTTTCCTTATATTTAATGAGGTAATCTTCTTTTAAGGGAATGTTTAGAGCATGGTTTCATAACCAGAGGATGCTGATCAATCAATCTTTTATAGATATTCAAATTATAAAGTCACTCTAATTCTTCTTCTTTCCTTAGTTTGCTGGGATTTTTTTCAACAGAATGTCAGGTAAAACTTTAATGATACTTCTGTTTACTTAGAAAATTATTACTTTTTTTAAAATTCTATTTGACAGACAGACACAACACACATACCATTTCATGGCTTTGGAAAAATGAAAAGTAGCCTGTGCTCAAAGGAAAAGTTGAAGATTCCTGCTTTAGGTTTATGTTTTTTTCTTAACTTACCTCAAACACAGGAGGTAAGTTAAGAAAAAACTTATTAGTTTTTATGGAAGAATTATCTTTCTTGGCAAGGGTAGCTTGCTCACTATCTTTAAGCCTAAAACAACTCAGAATGCTCACAGGAAAAATAGAGCTTTTCAGGTAGAGAAAGAAACCCTCATCATCAGAAGTATAACTTACATTTTGAAGACTTTTTTGAAGAACTTAATTCAACAAAATAATGTGCAATCACAGAAGGAACTCATTTGCTTTAGACTAGAGAATGAGGTCATATTATGATAACCTTTTGAATTGTTCTTCATTTTTCCCAATTCCTTTTACCTCAATTTTTTTCTGAATAAAATCTCAAAATTTTGAATTCAAAGACAATAGTAAGAAAATATAAAATAAAAATAAATTAAGTAACCAAATTATAGCAAGAGCAAATATTTGTACTTCCACTCTCTTCAAGAAAGAATTCAAATAAACCTATTCTAAAATTTTATGGACACACATACAAGGCAATAATATAAGGAACAGAGTTATTTAGAAGTTACTTAAAAAGAGAAAATAATTTTAGTAGGAACCATAGATGAGATCATGACTACGCTTGAACTAAAAAATTTAATCCTAAACTTCCTGACAGTCAAAGAGGGAAGTACAGTGTAAAAATTTAGAATAATGTTAACTATCAGTAAACCTGAAAACAAGATTTCCTGTCATTTTTATTACAATTGAAAGAACTACTCATGATTAATGGTCAAGCATTTAAATATTTTTTATAAAATCTTAAACTAGGCCTTTTCTGTAATTTCTCTTAATCTTCATGTTTTATGTTTCTAAGCCTAATATATAAGCTCTTTTCTCTATTCGAATTTAAATGTTGGATTTAAGTTTATATTCCTACATGACATAGAGAAAGTTAAAGAATTCTATGGAAAAGTGATTGTTACCTGAATCAAATTTTAAAGGAACTATTTCAAAAGACTTGAACTAGGAAAAAGATTGAAAACATGCTTGTATATAAATATAACTGGTTCAAAACACAAAGTACTCCCTTTTTTTATTTCTTCATAATGATGAAGAATTATCAAATGTTGATTCATAAGAATTCTGTACATTCTTTCAATATATAATCATCTGGTGATTATTTTTGTGCTACATAATCACCTTGCTTTCTTGATATCAAATGGGTTTTTTTCTAAGAAAGAGTAACTTTTTATGTTCAAACAGAGGATGTAGGCAGTACTTGGATCTTTCTTGAGGGAAAGCTTTAATCATTTAGACCTGTAATTATTGAATAACTGACAGTAATACGTAAGTTTTAACATTGAATACTGCTTACATATAAATAATTGGAATCCTGTGCTTGGAAAGGCACTCTATGGGTATTATTTATTAAGATTCTATTTTATGCTAAGTACTGTGCTAAATATTTTACATGAGTTATCTGACTCGCTTCAGACAATCTTAAAAAGCAGGTCCTTTTTCTTTTTCTTTTCATTTTATGAATAAATAAATTTGAAAATGGCGAGATTAAATAACTTAAAGAGAAAAACACAAACAAATTTGAAAATGGCGAGATTAAATAACTTAAAGAGAAAAACACAAAGTCAGAGCCTGAATTTCTCCAAATCAGAAAATATCCATTTATCCAAAATTAAAGTAAATCCCTTGGTGCCCCCCAGAAGGATTATGCTTCTTTAAGAATCTACATTTTAGAGGCATTTATTTTGAGCTCTTTATCTTATCCTGTTCTTGAGCCTCTGTTTGTTTGTTCGTTTATTTTTAAACAGAGGAAATATAAATGGATATATCTAATTTTACCCAAGTTTATATATCTCCTCCCTGAATGGATTCCCAATCTTCTCCCAGGCTCTTTGCTCAGTTCCAGCTCATCCCCCTACTCTTCCACGACACTTTCCGACTTTGGTGGCCTCCACTGAGCTCTTTGTTTTATGAAACTCTACCATTCAGTAGTTTAAGGGAAAAAATGCCTGTCTTTACTCTTATCCTCATTCCTTGCTTATTCATTTCTCACTTATTTCATGTGTGTTAATTTTGCCCCTTGAGTTAATTAAACAAATTAATAACATACAAATTAATAACACTGTGAAAGCTAGGACTATATGTTATCTTTGTTATTCCTCACAGAGATGATTTCCTAAAAGATACTTTGTAAATATTGAGCAATTACTTGATTTCTTTAACACTAAGAATTCTAAGGTACTTTTGTTAGTGCTATAATATCTAGTTATATTTATGCTATGTGATTGTTATCAGAATATTACTAAAAACATTGTCAGAGTTCACTGCATTATATAGATATAGAATATAGAATATTTTAAATAAGTATGTAATGACAGCTATTAAAATATATAAAATCTATTCCACAAATGTTGTGAAATTTAAGAGCCAAAAATTAAATTGGCCACTAATTTAATTTTGTTGTTTTTGTAATGATGTTATTAACCTATCCTTTTAGAGCTCCCTTGCATCCTTGTTATTATGTTAAAACATTGCCATTATTCTGAAACAAAATATCATTGTTTATTAGTCTTTCTTTTCTCCACTTCCAGGCTCTTTTATTTTCCATCTCTTTATTTTGATACCCTGATCTTATGTTATTTAAAAATGTGCATTTTAGCATGTAGAACATCAGAGTTAGAGAGATTTTATCCAGCAAATAAGTAGCATGTATTAATAACGATTATAACATGATAGATTCCTCGGAACACTGTGTTGAAAAGCTAAACAGCATTTGATCTTCAAAAGTGTAAGAGGCGTATTGTGACCACTGAATTCCAGACACCAGTACATCCCTTTTATTGACATGATTAAGAATCTTGCTGTTAGTATTTGGATGTGTTTCATTTGAACCTGCCTGCACCTGTTCCCAGAGGGCAAACAATTGCCCAGGCTGTCACTCTCATGACAAGTTGGTCCCATTTAAACTGCCAGCTAACAATTGCGTCGCCCTCCTTGATAAATATACTGTGCTGAGCAGCCCGTGAGTGATAGAGTGCTAGGGACTGAGAGCTAAGAGAAGACCCCGGTTTAGGAATGATGTGTGAGACTTCCTATCGTTTAAAAAGAAGGACAGCTTACTTTTCTCTGCATTTGTGTTGGCAACCCCAGGCACTAATTCACCAGTTGAAAATATATTGTCGTAGATGACTGTTATAAGGTTGAGGGGAAGTGTCATGTCACGGAGAACATACTTTCATACTTTTATGAACTGTTTCGATGATAGTGCTATGAGTAAGCGGGAAAGACTAAGTAGCTCCTTATGAGAAAGAGGTAAGAAGGGGTTGTGGGATGGAGAAAGAGAATTTGTTTCCAGAATACAAAGAAAAGAACTTAAGAATTAAAGCAATTTTTTTTTTCTAGTAAGAAACATAACATTTCACTTATGCTATTTTCCAGTCTGTTGAAGAAGTAGGCCTAATAGAATTTTTAGGTCCCAGAGTTACACAAATATTCTATTTATTTGACTTACTGACTGCAACAATGTCACTCTTCATTTCTTGTCTTTACTATGAGCTTGAAGAGATGCATATGAGGGAAGGCTGCTTCTTCTATGTTGACATTATACATGCTGTGAAGCCACACTCTGTGAACTTCAGTGTAACTTGTCTGATCTTTGGGCCAGAGAGGATTAGGAAAGAAGGTTGTGGGAGGCCTTCTGGTCAAAGTCTATGTGTGTGATTTGTGCATAATTAGTCAAACTTTAATTTTTCTTAATGATAAGAATTCTTCAATCTATATTCACTTTTCAGTTGTTGAAGTAGTAAGTCATGGCTTTCAGGTGAATACTTAAATGAAGCAGCATCTTCTAGTTCACATAAATACTTTTCCATGAGGCATTTCTCTGCAGTTTTGAATCTGCCTTGTACATAGCATAGGCACTGCCCAGGCACCCAATAAAATCTGTGGAATTCACAGTTGATTGACCAGATTAAAGGATAAATGTAAATAGACTTAGGCAGCACAATGTGACACATGATTTCATTATAGTCTCAGTATTTTAAGTATTAATTTTAATGTTTGTAAAGTACAATTAAAAGTAAATATGAAGGAAATTTTAAGCTTTCTTTATTTTTTCTTTTCCTGTTATATCTACATTTACCTGTAGATATTTATTCTTACGGTGTAACATATGTATTTGTTTCATTGATGAACTGAGTAATGAATTACCAGTATGGGGACATATGCTCTCTCATAATACAAATACCTAGCGACTGTTCATAGCTGGAATTAATTATTTCTACATCTGTGTTCATTAAGCATACATTCATTCGACATTATTGAGTACAAAGCACATGTCTAATTAGGTGTTATTGAACATGAAAATATTGACTGAACCATAATATCTGATATATAATATAAACAGATTTTTATGGACATGAGTATAATCAAGATAGAAGTACTAATACAAGTAATGGTATAAGTATAAATTGATGTGCCATGGTTAATTTAAAAAAGAGTAGAAGTATTTATGCAGATTTTGCTGTGAACTCTTGGACTAAGAAATTGGAAAGAGGGACATAATTCATGTTAGAGTTCAGAAGAGTCCACTGAGTTGAGATACATGGTATGTCATTGAGATGATCTAAATTTTTAACTGAATTTACATATTTGAGTTTGTGCACTTAAATCAAGGTATATATATGGGCTTCATACTAGTTAGCCAAAAACAAAGTAATTAAAATCAAGACACTAATAGAAGAAATGATGAATTTAAAAACTATAGTAGAACCATGATCCATGCTTGGGGGTGATTGAAAACTAAGGTTGTGACTTATAAATGATTCAAAATAGACAACATGGCTACTAAATACAGTAAGAGTATAACAGCAACTTCTGAAAGAGCTATCCTCAGTCATTGTTAGGATAATGAACGAACACCTTAATGAACATATGCAGTTGATCTATTGTGCTCATGGAAAAGGAGGCAGTGTGCATCTAGAGTGTGGAAGCAGATACCTGGCCTGCTTTTTTCTCTATAGTATCTTCAATACCTAGACCATTGCCTGACACGTAGGAAGTATTCAATATGTACTTAGTGAATGAATCTACGTAAGTGATTAAGAAGGTGAAAGACAATTCAGAGCCTCAGTTATGAGAAAGGAGAGCAGAGTTCATTCTGAATGTGCTGTGCAGGAGTGATGTTGACTGTGGTGTGTGTGGTCAGTGCCCTTGGTTAGGCATATATCAAGTTAGATAGGCAGGTAGTATGAATACTGGAGATTACTGGTGTGTGTGTGTGTGTGTGTGTGTGTGTGTGTGTGTGTGTGTGTGTGTGTAATTTTTGTGATTGACCACACAGTATTAAATTACACGTAACTAAATGCCATGTAGTTCCATACACATAGCATTATGGTTAGCATTGTAAATAAACCAAGGAAGGTTTTGATAGCTATCTTTTGCTCTGTGTTCATATCATGTGCCTCAGAGTTTTTAAAATTAACTCTGTCTGGGTTCTAGAGTAGTAACAAAATTAAGAATGATCATTAGAGATATAAAAGGGAGGACAGACTGTGAATTCTGTGAGTTCTGTTGTTTTGGAGAGAACTATTTTCTATCCGTCATCCTGGAATGGTAACAGTGGGAAGTCAGCTAAGAGAAGCCATGAAGGGTCCATGACAGTGGATGTTCTCTGTTTGAAAGCCTTTTGGCAGGTGGAGGGACTTGGTTTTACTATAGTGGGTCCTTACAAAAAAAAGTGTTTTATAAAACTTGCTACTTTATAGCTAATGGACATTGGGTATTATTTAACTTCTCTGAGCTTTGCATTCTAGAAGATCTAGAACAATCTAGAAAATAAATAACTATTCCATGAGATTAAATGAGATGCTTATAAAGTGATTTCCTAATTGTTTGTTACACGTAGGTATGTAATCATGATCAAGGTTTTTCTTTTTCCCTTTTTTCCTCAATAAATTATAACTGTGATTACTATTAATATAATGTACAGAGTGAAATCACAAGAAAGAAATTTATTAGAATATACTTAGCAGGTATGATTTCATGGAAAAAAACTAAAAGGTCATAAGAAAGGATTATTTGATTAGATTAGATTAGATATTTTTTTTAATGTAATTTCTACGATGACTTATGGAGAGTAAGTAAAATTATCTTTAATAGCCAAGAGCACAGAGGTGTAGAGAATTTAAGTAGCATAACCAAAGTCAAAACTATTAATTAGCTGAGTAAAACCTTGGAATACCTAGGTTTGTCTTACAGAAAAACATATTTTCTCTGAATCTCATGTTGTGTAAAATAGTAGTGATGCAGGAGAAGGAACAGTTATCAATGAATAGTTATCAATGACATGAAAAGAAGGATTTAGAGACCGATTGAATGAAGAGAGAGAAAAATCAGAGATCTTGCTTAGGACATGGAACCATGACACTAACTTGCCGGCTCTGGCCAAGGACTTGAGGAACAAGTACAGATCATCTCTTTACCATGAAGACCAAAAGCAGATTCTTTCAGCATCAGTACATGGAGGGAATACTGGAGAGACAAATGGAATTGGGTGAGAGGCAGAGTTGATTATTAATATGCCTCTAAGATTACTTGTTCCCTCCTAATGACAAAAAAATTTATATATGTGCCCTCAAAGTTCCTTTACATAAAAAGTTCCTTTATATAAAAACTCACTTTATTTCTAAGAGAATAAATAAATATAGTGTTGAAAATCCCATTACATGGCCCTAAAGCATTTTGAGCTATTTTTGTAGGCAAAGTCTTGCCCCAGTGTCTGTATGAAAATGAGAATAAGATATGACAGTGAAATGAAATTATGTGACAAGATTAAAGAAAAATTTGAAAACTGAAATTATTTTATATGGGAGGTCAGGTACTTTCTCCACTTTGTGACCATTCATTCTCTAAAGGACTGACTCAAAATTGAAGCAGAGTATGGTTCAGCCTTTTGAAATTAAATAATACAATTAATAGAAGCTACTAAAGAAACATAGAAGAGCACTCATTTTTATTATTATTATTATTATGTGAACAACTGTCAGAGTCAAAAGTGAGCATCATCAAGATAATATCAAGATGGTAGATCTGAATACTCTTTTGAAATCCAGAACAAGTATAATGCTGTGTCCTAGCTAATTGTGCAATTAATGAAAACCATTGATCAAACCACTAGCAAAAAAGAGTTGTTTTTTATTAAAAAACAAAAAACAAATGTGAGGTACTTATGAAAGGGGGAAACCATAGTCCCTAAAGTTTCTGAACAAGTAGAAATAAGATAGAGAATAACTGTCCTTGATCTGCTATGTTCCCTACAGAGAGACAGCATATCCAGATTTAATATAATGGAAATAAAGATTGAGCAGCTAAAATCTGTGATTCTTTTGAGAAACAGTGGTCATGTGGTACCTGTCAAGGTAGTTAGGAGATAAGAATAAATGGAACTGTACTTAGGGGTTCTGTTGCTTAAAGGCTTTTCAGAGTTTGTTTTTTACTGCTGTGTAGCATCTCTCAAATCTTTGTGGAAACTCTGATATGTCTCTGAGACTATGCTTAAAATGCTAAGACCTGTCATGGAGAGCCGTTGGGGCTGGCAGGAGCAAGAGAAGAGGATAAAAGTAAAGACAGGTATTTTTCCCCTTAAACTCTACATCGACTGCTACAGCCATCTGTGCGGCTGCCAACCAGAAACAGAAAAAGAAGCTGAAAAAAGAATAAGGAGCACACAGAGAATAGAAAATAAGAAAGCTAGGCACCATGTAGGTGTAGGATATTTCATTTGAAAATATATTCTATAAAAAACAATTATGAACAGAGATATATTGGTTACAATTTTTTTTTAAAAGTTTGTTTTTCTCTGATCCATAGCAGTGAATGCCGTGACTTTTAGGATGTGCATCTTCCTCGTTGAGATTCAGTGTGTATGTTACTTTCTTGGAGATTTTTAAAAAGTTTTCTGGGGTAGTAAGTACTAAACCATTTTTGGCTACAATGTCTCTAGACTACATATCTGTAGTATCACATAAGTATAGTGCCCAGATCTCCTAGAGTCTCTTTTACTGATTCTGTGTGCTCACCTCCAGCTTCTGCACCCTCTGCCCTCTTCAGAGGACAGCCGCGGACTGTGGAGTTGTTTCACCCTCAGGCACGAAGAACCTGGAAGTGCCAAGAAATTTACATCCCCCTAGGGTGGCCTGGAGCCATATCTGGCTGGAGCAGAGTATGAAAGCCTAACTCCATCAAGGGAGCAAAATTTTAATATAATTTAGACTTTAGAGGTCCCTGTGGGATCAGACTGAGGTTGAAATGTTTCTCAAAATAACTCTCTTGATTGACTTCTTCCCTTTCCTGCTCTGCTTCTTCCACACTTGTAAGAATTTCTCCTGGAGCATATCCTTACTATATCATTTATACATGTACCCTCATCTCAGCATTTGCTTCTGGAGAATCTGAAATAAGACAACATCTCCTCCTCCTCCTCCACACACACACACACACACACACACACACACACACACACACACACACACACACAGAGGCAAATGAGCATCATCTCGAAATATTTATTAAGTGTCTAGGCAGTATCCAAATACATAGATCTTAAGATCTTACTCTACTCAGCTGCCAGGGTATACTAAGGTGGGCGTTATAGAAGATAACAATTTAAACTTTATGCACAGAGAATACTGTGGCTATCCAGGATGATAATGAACTAAGTATTTTTATCGAGCAAGTGAAAGATTATTTCATTTCTTTTGTAACAAAATACATACTTACAAAGGTTTTCCAATAAAATGACTTTCAAAAAATAAATACAGTTGGTTTTTAAATGTGATTTCCTGTTGACAGCTTCTATAGACTCACAGATTAAATTTATTTTATCATGACATATATCTAGAATATACAGAAAAAGGGCATCAAATCTACTAAACTATATTAAACAATTTTAGTATGATTATTAACATAATTCCCACAATTAAACCCATTGCTTCAGAGAAAAACTATGATGTCATCATTTTTGTTATTTATAGATGTAAACAATGCTTCATCATCCTCATCCAGAAGTCACCCATATTCTAGTTGCAGTGAAGATGAGTCTGCACTGGGAGATAGGAAAGCATATGCGGAAAACAGTCCAAATGAAAGTGCCAGAAGTTCACCTTCTCGGGAGTTGAGTGAAAATGATGAGCCAGAAAAATCCTACCTTCCAATTGATGATTCCCTCAAAATTGAAGTTGAAGACCAAAAATTAATAAAAGCAGATATGGAGACCAAGCTTCTGCCCACAGAGGAAGGCTTGGAGAATGTTCTTGAGGAAGAAACAGAGAAAGGAACCCAAATGATTGCAGAGGGCTTATCTGCGAAGTCCAGAGAACATGTTTTCAAGGAAGAAAAGGAAACTTATAAGAGTAAGCTTTGGGAAGGAAACACTGCTAACGTGAAGGACAGAAAGGCAGGTCCCTGTAGGGTGGAGAAAGGTGGTAAGTATGGCCAGTGAGTTGGCCTGCCATTGTCCCCATGCATGGAAGCTGATTTGATCATTGCATTCTGCCAAAGCTTGAAAAATACTATTGTGATAACACCAGAGGGATTCAATTTTTTTCCTTTTTCTCTTTGTCACATAATCATACATGTATTTTCAGCTTGCTGTTTTCCTTCTATTACATTTTAAAAATTACTTGATAAATCTTATATAGCCTGTCTCCTATTTTCTGTAAATTCCTTCCTCTGGTAATTCTATCTCAATCAAATAAAACGCAATACATGTCTTGAAGACGAGGGTATGTGTGGCTTTTTAGAAGTTATTTAATACCAGCAATGCTATTTGTTCTTAGTGTATATGCACTTATATATATCATAGCTAACCTTGATAGGTGCTTCCTATGTGCTACTTCTAAACACATGTATATTAACTCATCTAATCCTCACAGCTCAATGTCCCCATGAGTTAGGTTCTA